GGGGGGGGGGGGGGGGGGGGGGGGGGGGGGGGGGGGGGGGGAAGGGGGTGCTCTGATGCTTTGCATGCCTTCGCGGTTGGACCATGTAGAGGTGATTCACCTGGGGGCACAGTACAAGAGTTGGGGGGAAGGAGTGGGAGGGGGAGAGCGTATTGATGCTTTCCGTGCCACCAGCGACACCGGCATCCCCCAGAACATCAACCAACCACCAGACCTTTTGCAATACTGAAGCCGCTTGAGTGAATCGTGGGCTGCAGTGAAAGTGCGGGCTTGCGGCGTAGATGAAGCAACCGCTTGTGACATTTTTGACAATGTACGCGACAAGCACAAAGGGAGCACCCGTTCGAGACAATGGCCTAATATTGAATGGATGCGTGAAAGCCTTCACAGAGTGAAACCTTGAGGAAACAACTCTGTTGGATGCTAGACTTGTTTGAGTCGTTTTTAAGCTTTTGTACACTTTTGAGAATATCAGTGTTGCCAGGCGGGACACATCTCTGCTTCGGTGATGTATTTCCCTGAATTTCGTTTGATTCTGCCCCCGCCTGACCAGTTGCATGGCCTTAACGAGTCAAGACTATGGCGACAGGTGTGGTGGTTGGTTGACGCTGTGGTGGGTGACGGTAGTGTTAGTGCCGTCGTGTTTTTTGATGTGTACGATACGGCCGCTGAATCAACACACACACGGCTTCTGGCCACCGGCGCAAGCAACCCGTCTCACCCCAACAAAAAACAAAACGAAGACACCAACACGCAAGGACACGCTGTGTGCGAGCAGTCCCCCCAAAACCCACCTTCCGAGATCGAAGCTGGAAACAGTGGCTCCAGCACCAAGAGGGTGCGAGAACACCGAACGATACACCCGCAGAGAGGTCTGAACGAGATCACTCGAAACCACCATGGTGGCACCAGTGGCGCCTACCTTCCTACAGGTAGCTTTGAAAGCTCGCGCTTTGAGAGTTTCGCCTAGGGGACGATCACTCGGACGGTTGCACACCTCGGCAAAACACTTATTTACCAATGCTTAGTACACTTCATCCCCCGACCCCCCGACAACCAGAAGCCAACAGCCTCACCTCAAAAGCGACAGTTTTGCCGCCGCCTCCCGCACCCTCATCGTCGCTTCCGGCCTCATCGCCGAACTCCGTGCTTTGTCTGTTGCGAGGTCATCGATAGGGGGGAGTGTTTGGCCGCGAAACGCTGCGAGCGTCTGGTCGAACATGGCGCTTGACTTTAGAGTCTGGGCTGCCAAGTGGCGTCGGTTGCTTTCTTCGTGTTGACGCGCCCCTCCATTCTCTGTGTGCCTCTGACGGCACCACTTACCACTTTCGCCAAAGACAAACAGCACCGGAAACAGAACCAACAGCACAATCCACACACACACAGGCAGCAGCAGCAGCAGCAACCACAACAACAACAACAACAACAACAACAACAACAACAACAACAACAACAACAACAACATATTCGTCATGACACCACACATACACAATTAGGGGTCTTGACGAGCTGGCACCCCAAACATACCCGATGAAGAGTGAAAAATATTTAGAGTTTTGACTTGCTTCATAGGTGGTAGGTGAGTTATGTTACACTAAGATAGCAGCGCCAGCAGCAACAAAACCCGCCAACAATAACGAAGACGACGCTAGCATAACAACCGCAATAGCAACAACAACGGCATTAGCAACAACAACGGCAACAGCACAACAACGGCAATAGCAACAACAACGGCGGCGATTCGTAGCACGACGTCGGCAACGCCCACGACACACACCACACCTGTTGGCGTGGGCGCGCTTCTGAGCGGTAACCTGTCGGAGAATGGTGCAGTCCACGCAGAACCACTCCTCGGGACAGTCCTGGTAAAGTGACAAACAGTACCAATCAATGAAAACATCAGTATCAGTGTCAGACAGCAGTGTCAATGTCAAAACAGAGCCAAAACAGTGTCAAAACAATGTCAGCCAGCAATTTCAGTGTCGATCAGTGTCAAACAGTGCCAAACAGTATCATAACAGTGTCAAAACAATGTCAGAAAGCAGTTTCAGTGTCGATCAGTGTCAAACAGTGTCGAACAGCACACATGTATCAGTGCCAAACAGCAGTATCAGTGCCAGGCAGCCATAGCACAGGCAGAGGACTACACCAAAACCATGTTGGCACAGTAGCGAAGCTCAGAAACATCTTGTACGCTTACCAGGGAAGGGCCTCAAGAAGAAAAACAAAGGCGCCGCACACAACATGTTGGCACACGTGCCAAGAACGAAAACATAGGAAGGAACTGCCTCACGCAGAAAAAGCAAAGGCGCCGCACACAGCATGTTGGCAGGCGTAGGAAGAACAAAAACATGGGAAGGAAAAGCCTCACGCAGAAAAGAAAAGAAATGCGCGGAGCAGACACACAGGAAAAAAGTTAACAATATACATACATATATATTTGCACGTACGGAAACGATACGTGAAGAAAAAAAAAATGATGTGCATGAATAAAAAACGCAAGATCGAATTGCGGCGGAGACTCAACCTCCTTCACACGCAAGTTGAAAAAAGCTACACAAGGCTAACAAAGGTGATGTGTGTGAAGTCGAGGTACCACAACGAAATGAGGCATGCATACAGGAGCGGGGAGCCAACACCCATCACGACACCATGAAGCAGAGACAAACCACAAAACCAAAACCAAAACCGTGCACAACACGATACGCCGTAGAGCATGTAGCAGCGACAAAAAAAAAAAAAAGCGTCACTAACGCGAAGAATCAAAACGCATCGAGATGACACAAGGTTCGAAAACGACCGCAGGTACGAGCCACAAAACGAACTATATCATATCAGGGGCTAACAAACACGTCACAAGCAACAGAAACACACACAAAAAAAAACAAGGACAATCGACGAAACAACCACGCAAGCACGTGCGTGACCGCGGGCTTGAGGCTCCTCGGCAGAAACGGCGAGACTCTGTTCTGTAGGCAGTTGATGCAGCAGGGGGAAGACGAAAGCTGGGGTGCTGGAGAAAAAAAACAATGACAGGACAGGAAACCTTCCAGCTATTGTACCACGAGAAACGAAAGAAAGCACGAGATTTTTCTGCGCACCTCCTGCGAGGTGATGCCAACGCAGCGGCCGTGGAACCAGCGGTGACACCGGTCACAGTCGAGCATCATCACCCCGCCCTCCTCGCCCCCCGTGCCCCTACCAGCACCGCCGCAGACGCACAGGATGCGCTCCTCCTGTCCCCGAACCGCCCGCAAGGGAAAAAAAAAAATGGAACGAAAATGTAAGCGGAGGGAGCCCTGCATGGGATAGGACCGTGACACGACCTGGTAGGCTGGACTGCTGCGTAAACCAAAAGCGCATCACTTTGCAACACGTATTCTTCGCCTTTCCACCTGCATGGATACAAAAAAACGTTTTTCATGCTTGCGTTCGATTCAGCAAGTGCTGTTACATGTCTATTTTTGAACTATTTGGCGCCTCAAACGACAGCATCTGATTTCTGCCTCCTTACCGACAGTGAGCGCTGATCAAAACTGACGAACCAAAAAATAAAGAGATAAACCGTAGAACCTAACAAGCGCCTCCATCTGCCCCGCGAAGTTCGCATCCTCCCTTCAGTATCCCTCGCGAGAACAACAACAAGATTCCATTTTTGTAGGAGTTACAGGGTTAGGCCGGGGTTACAAATTCCCCCCCCCTCTACTTCACAAACAGCACATCACAACCTCTTCAAGGCGCTACAACCTCTACCCGTCCCACACTCGCCCACCTCGTCTCCCGGCTCCCCGCCCTTCCTCCCCTCGGTCGCCTCGGGTAGAACCATCGGACACTCCCTCTCTCGCCTTTTCCATTCGCCGGATCGTCGACGTCGGGGGCACAAAACACCCAACACGTCGTAACAAGACCAAAGAGTTCTAGTCTAAAATAGTCGATTCCGTGCATCTCAGAAAAAAGTGGGATGTATTCCTTGAGAACAAAAGAGCTGACGATGGTGAATATAATTTGTTGCAACAACGTAAGTGGGATGGAGGCACGTGTTCCGGTCGGCGGTGACAAACTTGCTCATAAATAAGGAATATTTGCTGGATGAATGAAGCCCACAACTAGAATCACGCCAAGCGAAGCAGCCAAAAGAAAAAAACACAAACGCGACGAAAGAGTGCCGCCGCCCCCTTCTCTAGAGACGCTCAGGATAACTCAACTACCAGCTCCAAGATGAGATATCCTTCACAACAACGGTGACTCATGATGTAAAACTATAGAGGGCGTGTCCTCATGGCCATGCATGCCGCAGTCGTTAGACCATTGACCTCGCATCTTTACAAAGCTGGGAACTAGCACGCCGTGTTTTCACCGGACGAGGCTAGCATATAAGGGGAGGGAACAAAATATGGTTAACCGCGTTGAAGGCGCTTCAAAAAACAAAACACGTGCGACTAAAAAGCGGCATTACTGCTGTACCTGGTGATATCCGCCAAGCCACCGGCCACCCGTCCGAGGACATCCATGGCCATGAGGCAGTACTGCTGGTCCCTCGCGCCTGAAGTGCCGCCTTTCTGGTCCTTGAGGTCCTTCACCAACGCGCCGCACCTGAACCACGACAACCATAACACGGCAAAAATCACCATTACTAACAAGGATCAACGACAACGTCAACATCCAACAACAACACCAACAACGGCAACAACAGCAACGGCAGCAACAGCGACAACGGCGCCGACGACGAAAATGACACCAACAACAACGACACCAACAACAATGCCAACACCAATACCATCAACAACAAGCAGCAACACCTAAGACGACATAACACACTCACAGAGCATGAAGGAGAAGCTCCGCCGCCGGCCACTCCGGAAGCAACACAGTGGCCAGGAGGTCGTCGACGGTATTGGCCAGGAGCGGCTGGAAGTTGGCGCTCTCCTCCTTGCCGGCACACCTTGACACGACACCCGTAGCACGACACACCGAGCGATCGGTCGCGATCCGAACGACAGCAGGAGACGCGACCCATGAAAAGCTAGCTTCACCAGACGATACGCTCGGGGGCAAAAGGAGGAAGACTCTCCCTTGCTGAAAGCGGTGTGCTCCCCAGGCGGCAAGCCAATCTACCAAGCACGCCAAGAGCAGTACTACCAAAACGTATCGATGCGAGTACGAGTACAGACGTGCCAACCACAACGACACACAGAGGGAAAAGGCACTCCCCGCGTACGCTTAGGACACCATTGTTTTCAGGAGCATGTCGCCCCTAAGCATGACGTCGCGGGGGTCTACAACAACAACAAAACAACAACAATACCTGGAAAGGAACCGCGAGACGAAGTACGTGGCCGCATTCCTCGCAGGGTTGAGGCCGCTCTGCTGCTGCTCTTGCTGCCGCTTCTTCTGCAGCTGCTGGCTCCTCCTCCTCTCCGCCTTCGAATCCCCCCCTCCTGCTCCTTCCCCGGCCTCCGCCACTGAAACGCCGCCCGCCGCTTGCGGGGGGGAAGTCACGCAAGACTGCACCATGAGCATCACCAGGGCGGTCAAGTTCTGGATGTAACCGTCCGTGCCACCTGGAGGGGACGTAAGTGAGGGGGGGACGGGGGGGGAGGCACCATCGATAGAGGGGGGCTGAGAATATATGAAATGAGCGTAAAGCTGCAAAAAGTACACCAGCGAAAAGGAAAAACAAAACGCGTGTGTGTGAGGGAGTTGACACTGGCAGAGACAGAAGCGCGGTAAAAGAAAACAAGGTGGAACAGCACAGGTCAAAGCGGCTATGCATAGGAGTAGAGTTTGGAGGGTACACCTCGAGCAAAGGCGGCAGCATGACATCAGAAGGGGGTGCATCAGGGAGCAACAGGGTTACGAAGTCAGACAATATGTGCCAAACAGATTTGTTGTCAACCACTGATACCGCGGGGGCATTTGGCGAGACCGCAGTAGGTGGGAGAGAAAGCAGAACCCAGCGTGTGCAACATTGGGGCGAGATGACTAACTCGATGGGAGCGCACGCACACGCTTCTCCTTTTTCGAAAACAAGAGCTAAAAACTTGGGTAGAAACGAACAAAAGGAGGGGGGGTCAACAGATGAAAACGCTCTCCAGCGGTGCTAAACGAAAGGGATACACGTCACGACCAACGACGAGAAAGATAGACATGGTTGTGTCAAGGGAGAAGAGAACGAAGGCACAGCCCGACCACCGACACTACCAGACAACGTAGCAGCAGCATCCCCCAGCATCGAACGCATCGAAACGCTGTTGTGGTTTCGTGATGAGAGCTTGCCGTTCCTTATCCTTACCGTTGGCCCCGCCGATGGCATCGGGAACGTGGGCGATGCGGAAGGTCCTCAGCTGCCGCCTCCCGGTTGGCATCTTGAGCAAGAGCCCGAACACGTCTTCGATCAGCAGGGGGCGAAATGACACGTACCTAACACAAACCATGGGGTGGGGGGGCACTCATGCAAACGCATGCCGTAGTCGATAAGACCGTTGGACCCGCATCTCTACAGTGCAGGAAAGGCTTCGTCTCACAAGGGTCACCCAGAAGCTGGCTATCATCCTTGCGCTTGCTGGGAGGGGGGGACGCTCATTGATTGCTTGCCTTGCCTTACAGACGTGACCATTGACGAAGCCTTGGCAAGGTTTCCAAACGGTTGTAAGCCGTAAACCGTACAAGGAGACACCGGTACCCCACGAATAACAGAACCAAACTCACTTTCGCGACACCGTCTGGAGAACTCCCAGCGCTCCTTGCTGCAGGGGCTGCAGTCTTGACGTCCCCTCCCCCCGCCTGTCTGCCGGCGAGGGTGCCTCCAGCACGAGGCAGGTCTTGCAAGCGCTGCATAGCTGCAGAAGCACGTTGTCCTCCAGTCTTACCTGTTAGCGTCATTGTGTTCCGAACGTGTGGCATTCCATGAGCGGAACTAGAGGAGTGCAAGTCAGGACGGTACCGTAATGAACGTCGCATTTGGAACTCGATTGGGCGTTTGCGTTCGAAAGCCTTTTCACTGCAGGTGCGCTGGAGAGCAGGGTGGTGGATGGAATTCAGAGGACTATCAGCAGTATAAGAATCTACCATCCACCATAACGACAAAAATAAACCGCCCCCGCCCCCGCCCCCGCCCCCTCCGTTCGAATAAAAAAAAAACATCCCATCATTACCAACAACAACAACAACAACAACGTTACCGTACCCGAGACACGAGCGAGTCCAGCAGCCCCAGCGCCTCGTACGCCTTGCCCAGCGCGCCGCCGGAGACAAGCTTCCTAGAAACTTCTCGCAGCCGCCTCTCTAGCCTCGAGTCGTCGAAGTCGTCGTCGTCCTCATCATCGTCATCGACGAGACTCATCTTCTGTTGGGCCCCTCCCTTGCTACCCCCACCCCCTTTGGCCTTCTTGCCCTTGGCCTTGCTGGAGGAAGACCTCCCGCTGCCCTCGGGCTCTGCTTCGGGGTTTGTTAGCGAATCGACGCGAAACCGGGTGTACAAAACAAGTCGATGGAAAACCGGATCACAGGCTGTACAGTCGTGCCAAAAAACGCAGAGGAGACAAGAAAAGGACAAACGCGTAAGCAAAACCCCGGAATGCTATTCTGAAATATTAACAACTCCTATCTGTGGAAGAGATACATTAGCTGTGTACATAGTCGCAAGACAAATAGATACTCCGTACGCTATTTACTGTAATAAAATGACAATTGACTATTGTTAGGACAAGTCAAGGAGCGAAGACGAGACCGTGCCACTCTTAACAAAAATCATCTGATCTGTTCACTACTCCAGGCGTGCACTTGGAAACGTGAGTGTGTCGTTCGTCGTGTGCAGTATGATACCAGTTAAGATCCGCAACACTGCTCAACAAGAACATGACAACTACTACTCGCCGCGGCCGCGGCTGCTGCCCTTCACGGCGGATGCTCTACAACAACATGGCTACGAATATGGAGGTTCTTCTGCCGTTCATGTTGACCGCCTTTGCTTCTGTTCCCCCACGCAGAACAAGGATTGAACTTCATTCTAAAGCATAAACTAGCTGCTAACCACCATGCTAACCTATGGATACCAATCCTGTCTAATGCGTACCACCACGTACACTCATCACACAAGTCGTTCGAATGTCGTATTGAAAGATTACAAAATGAGCGAGAAATAGCTGCTCCAAACTACAGCACCTGTTGTGAAGTTCAAAATGTAGATTCAAATATATCCAAGTAAACCAGCAGGCTGTCAAAGGGCACTGCGCCGCGTTCCCTGTGAAGGTCGTACAGTATTTTATAACACACAACATAGCGGAGGGTTTCTCACCGACATTGTTGTTGTTGACCCAGTAGTGAACTACAGGAGATGTATACTAAAACTTACCTACAAACACGAATCCTTTTGGAATTAGCACCACCTGGTGTCACTGTCATACTTCGGTTAATAGGCTTAAACAGACTCAACATAAGCTGAGTTTCCAGCCGGTTTCCTTCCACTCCTTGAAAAGACTTCAGCGCCCCCCTTTCGACTGCTGAGTTGATATCTCGAACGGGTAGCCTTTCAGTCTCTGTAGATTTTCTAACAACAATTACTTCCATGATGCAAAAAAAAAACTCCGGCATCGAGACACAAGGGCTCAAACCTGAGTTTCCGCCGGTGCTGCCATCTCCCCCCTTCGCGATGGACATGGCTAACGCTGGGTCGAGCACTGGTGCGACATGCCTCGCAAGGTGGTGCCTGCGGACCGCAATCATCACCGACAGTTTCACATTTTCCAGCAGTTCTTGTTACCGTAGGGCTCGCGGCGAGACATCGATCATTTCAGCTTTTACTGGTTGTTCCTGCGCACAAGTGGAGCTCCCTCCCTCCCTCGTGCCCCGTAACACATACAGGGGGGGTCTCTGTTTACTGCCGGTGTGCACCGGGCACATTCACCGGCACTTGACCGTACCGGCACTATCCAAAGTACTGACAATGACTTGGAAATTCCGTTTGCGCCCGCCGAAAACACCGGCACTATACCGTACCGGCAATTTACCGTACCGGCACTATTCAAAGTACTGACAATGACTTGGAAATTCCGCGTGTGCCCGCCGAACACACCGTGTGCCCGCCGAACACACCGTGTGCCCGCCGAACACACCGGTATTATCCCGGGTAGTGGCGACACTCAACCGGCACAAAACAGGGACCCACCCCCCTCTGAACCGAAACGAGAACATTGATCACCTGAACAATCCGATGCAGTGGTCGATCAGCTCGTCCGAGCACAGCTTGCGGTCAAGACCCGGACACGTGACGATCATGAGGCAGACCAGGCAGGCCTCAAGGGAGTTCTCCACGCTGGCGAGTGCCTCCGGACCCTCCTGGCAAAAACGGACGAAACAGGAACGCATTAAAAACGTACTGGTCAAGCCGACTACGGATACAAGAATAATTTGGTAAGGCGGCGAAACAGATACACATGCATAAAAGTATCTACTGATCAAGCCGGCGAGACAGATGTAAATAAGAAGACGTACTGGTAAGTCGACGAAACAGATATGCCTAACAAAGTCACAGGATCAGAGACCACCACCCCAATAACAAAATCATCATCAACAACAACACCGATTCCAAGCACGCGCAAAACCGCTTTCTCTCGCACCTGCCCCCAGCGCCCGATTCCTTGACCGTCGCTGCAGGTGGCCGCCATGGGAAAAGCGTCAACAGCAAGCCCTTGCCGCACCTGATCAAACACAAGGGGTTACAGCAGTGTGTGTTAGCAAGACAGGTAGAAAGCGGAGCTCTTAACCCCCGCCCTGGCGTTCGGACCCCCCCCGCCCCCGACACGAGCATCCCGCGCGAACGGCAAAAATTTCACCGGAATATTCTTGCGGCGACTGTGTTACAGAACGCATATAGATGCGGTGCTTTGCTTTCCAAGAGGAATCAGCGAGCAAAAACCACCACGGCTACGACTATCGTCGTCGCCACTGCCCTCTGGACCAACAGCAACAAAGGAAGTGCTCAGAGCAGCAGGAACGGCTGGAACCGCACAGCCAACGCCCGTGACAAGAAGCACGGTCCACAGAAGAATGACCACACCAACAACAACAACGACGACGACGACGACGACGACGACGACGACGACGACGACGACGACGACGACGACGACGACGACGACGACGACGACGACGACGACGACGACGACGACGACGACGACGACGACGACGACGACGACGACGACGACGACAACCATTCGCAAAGTCAGTCAACCTGCTCTTCCATGAGTCTCAGTAGCAAAGCGAGGGCGTCCACGCTGGCCTCGGCCACGGCCCGTCCCGCCGTAGCCACCGCCGTGTACGCGCGAGACACCTCCCGCCGGAGAAGCCCCGCAGCCCCGTCGCCTCCACCACCTCCGCCTCGGCCACCGCCCCCTGCCTGAACGGAGGATGACGATGCTACCGCTGCTGCTGATGCGGCGGCAGCGCCGGTGGCGGGCTCATCGGTGCCGTCGAACTGCCTGGACTTGCGCCGCTCCATGCCGCGCGCCTCATACGCCTTGATACGAGAAACAGCAGTCGACAGCGGAAAGAAGACCAAAGAGATGGATGGTAAGGGCGGAGTGAGGTATATTGGTGCGAGTGGAAAACGCGATTGTCGCGTTCGCAAGTGGCTACGGCTGAAGAACCGGGAGGGCCGCCGCAGGACGGCTGGAGAGGCAAACAAACGCTACAACACACCGCTGGCGGCAACAAAACCCAGCTGTTGCTCGCCCTCCTCTCTTGACCCGCCCCACCCCCTCTGCCTCCATCCCCCCCTTTCTTGCCTCCCTCTCCCTCCGCCTCTCTTCTCACCATGATAAGCCCATCCATAAAGTCGTTGAACTTCGACGCCGCCGACCCGTGTACCCCGTCCTCCCCCTCCTTCGCATCCTCTCGCGACCTGCCGCCGCCGTTGCCGCTGCTGCTGCTGCTGCTGCTGCTAGTGGCCTTCTTTTTCTTCTTCTTGATCAGAATCACCGCCGATGAAGGAGGCGCCACCTTTCCGCCAGAGGCAGGGGCGGGGCCACGAGGAGCGCCTGCGGGCTCAGCGGCGGGGTTGACCACCCTGGTCTTGCCCCCATCGCCTTCGTTATACTCCTCCTCCTCCACCTCGTGCTCTCCCTCGTCGTCCTCCTCCTCCTCGTCCTCCTCCTGTTCCTTGTCCTCGTCCTCGTCCTCGTCCTCGTCCCCCTCGTCCTCGTCCTCCTCGTCCTCTTCCGGGCTTTCCGGAGGTAAATGCCGGATGATCTCGGCGTGCTCCATGTCTTCTTGGTCGCCATCATCGTACAGCTATTGTGCAACAAACACATCATACATGTAAAAGAGGAGGAAGCGGCAGCGCGCACGGGGGGTAAGCGTAGCAAAATAAATATGCGTGCCAAAAAACCATACAGTAGTTGTTCGCCCACTATCGGTGGTCTAGATATTAATATTACCAGAAGAATGTGACAAAATAAACACGCACATCAATCACAATACCAGGTGCACGATGGTAGGTCCTTACATACGCTCCACTCGTATCTCAGTCTCGCTCACCACGTGATAAAGCACCTCGCCGCTGTCGACCAAGACGTGCGCGTAGGCCACGGTTCCGTGGTAGGGCACGCCGCTGAAGGTCTTCCAGATTTCTCTCCCCACCTGCGACATATTTTATCACGGAAAATTTAACGCATGTCAACGTTGCCGTGGGTCGAAAGAGTTTTCTCATCTCCGGTGGCCGACTTCCTCTAGCAGCCGCCCCCGTCTCTGCTGCATTGGATGGGCCGCTCCCATGCGTTTTACTACGACGGTCGGTGCGGGACGAAGCCCACTTTATCCCCGTTCTTGTGCGACAACAACCACCGTTGCTGCTGGTCGACGCACATGGCCTCTGCTCAAACGTGCGATCGAAACAATCCAATCAGTGACAAGCTGCGCCCGAAATGACAGAGCTGGCTCAGGCTTCGTGGGGACGCTATCTCTAGAGGGCAGACGCGGCAACGCCGACACCCATCACCCCCCCCCCCCCCCCCCCCCCCCCCCCCCCCCCCCCCCCCCCCCCCCCC